ATTATTAAATCCCATTAATCAAGTAAAATTCATTTTGCTATTATTTTTGAGATCTATCATTCGCGACATTATTGGGGAATTGTACCTTCTTGGCTTGTCTTTGAAGTAGTGTGCGAGTGTGTGATAAAAAATCATAAGTTTGGAACTTCTGCGTTTCTTGCTGTTTGTGTATTTTTATGGACTTGTGTTGGAAAACTTATAACCTATGAAATGTAAAAAGGGGGTATTGTTGAACAGTTATTTAACGTATGATATGCTTTTTCGCAGCCTATTTTTGGTGTTATTCATTATTGTATCACAATAAACTTTTTTTGCATACGTGCACATGCCCTATAGTAATTTTAAAAACCGGAACTTTTTTGTGCTTACAAAAAAAGTGCAAAAAAATGGTTTCATTCCAGAACTCTTAAAACTTTGCCTATCAATAGATAGAAAATGAAATGAAAAATTGTTATCAAAAACAGATGTGAGTAAAAATATCTTAGGGGTTGACATTTCAACCCCTTTGAAGCATACTCCAGGGTTGAAAACTTTCCAATATGTGTAGTTTTATTGATGAAAGAAATTTACCAAGTTTCATGTCTTTAGCTTAATATACAGGGACAAGAAACATTTTTTTTATCTTTGGAGAGATATAATTTTTCAGGGGAGAAGTTTATTAAAACAATGTATACCAAATACTTCATTTTCATCACAGAATCGTCCCTTATATTTTTTGGTGTTATTCAGATACACGTTATATATATAGGTATGTATAAAAAATAAAATCCAGAATTTTTCAGGAATTAGAACTTACTTTGCTCATTTATTTTTTGGAGGCCAAAATTACCTGAATCAAAATTCTATCTTCTGTGATTGTTATAACTACTATTCAGTAATATTTGATGAAATGAGGAATTCACATTAGACACTCCTTAATGCTAGATTGAAACATAAAAATAGGAAATCTTTTTTTTTACTATAGTCCCAATATCTCCAAAACAATGGGGTTTTTACAGGGGTCAAATTGTGGTTTGAATTTAAACTTGATTATCACCAAAATAGTATGAAACATGGTTTACTGGTACAGTACCAGCTACATACCAAATACAAGTAACACATTGCAAAAAATCTCTCTTATTTTCCTAATCTAACCTAACTAAAAGTGACCAAAGCCTGGACTGCTTCATCATCCTCATCATTTTGTTGAAATAAATCTTCACTTTGTTCAACATTGCTCTCACCCTCCACAAAACAGATCCCTTCTCTCTCATGCACCTTCAAATGTTTCCTCAAAGTGGCAGGTAGTGTAAACCAGGAATGACACACATGGCAACCATAAGGTTTCTCCCCAGTATGTGTCCTCAAGTGGACTTTCAAGTGAGTGGATGTCATGAACCTCTTCCCACAGATCTTACACATGTGTCTGCGATCTCCTGTATGAGTTCTCATATGTCTCTGCATTCCATTGCTAAATGGAAAGCTCTTTCCACAGATGTTGCACAGAAAGGGTTTCTTTTTCGGTTTTTTGCCTTGGTGACTCATCAAGTGTCTTTTCTGTGAAGACAGCCTCAGGAACAGCTTGCCACAGATCTCACAGTTGTAGTTCATGGTGCCAGTATGAGCAGCTTCATGCTCTCTAAGATTGAGGGAGTTTGAGAAGTTCCTGCCACAATCTGCACAGTTGTATTTATTGGCTCTATGTTCTTTAGTCATATGCCTGTTCAGTTTCCATTGCTGGTCAAATGTGCTTTCACATATTTTACAGAATACCTCTATAGGTTGTTTGACTGGCTGCACTTTAGCTTGAGGAATTTTCTGCTTCACAGGGTTGTTTGGCTTGGTGCACTGGTGGGAGACTAGCTTGGCAGCACTGTTGAACATTAGTTGACATCTACCACAAGCAAATGTAGCAACAAACTCAATTTCCTCTTTTTTCATGGAATCCATGCAAGAACCTTCACCCTCTGAGTCATCATTTTCTAATTTGATATCACTTATTGAGGCATTTCGACTATTTTGCTTGCTGTCATATATTTTCCAGTATTCCACTGCAACGTCGAATTTTTTCCTGAACTGGTAAACTTTGTTCAAATCTTCCAGACAGTACAAGCATATTTCTGAAGAATCATCGAAAACCTACAATAATTATTATGATACTGAGACTACTATTCACGCAATTCATGATAGGATATACTTACGAAATCTATGTTTAGAGCATATTGCATCTGATTCATGTAAGTTTCGTTCTCTGGAGAAGTAGATGTCAATTTTATCAAATCCGGCTCATCATACATTTCAAGGCAAACAATGCAAGGTTCTGTTGGATTTCCCATTCTTGATTTCAAAAAATTATCATTTAAACAATTTTATCGTCTACGTGAAGTAGAATTTTTCAAATACCTTCATCAAAAATATCACATTCACTCGCTTCAAAGTTCAAATAAGAGATGACAACTGTCAGAAACACGTCTTCTTCTTCTTATTATATTGATTATTGGCCCCTTGTCTCTATAGGTACAGTGCGCACACGGCACAGACAGTGCCACACATACAGCGAAGCGGCACAAAGTTGGCAGCTCACAGAACCATAAAATTGCATTTACCTAAGACCAGTACAAGGTAGCACTAGTGAGATATTTTATTTTCCTCATATTTTTTACTTTGTAATACATAAACTAGATATCTGGACTTTTCAAAGCCCTAATTTTTATGTTTGCTTCGTTACTAAATGGTAAATTACAGTATTACATGCAATGCGAACTATACCGGCATACTTCTATAAGAGATGCGATTTAATTTTGCACACAACCGTTCACAACCCATTAGTCGGAAAATAGGGGGAAAAAATCAACCCTTTTCGCTGTCCAGCCAGATTTGCCCTGGATTCGACAATATTTGTGAAAAGGCTTAGCGTTTCCAGGATTTCTGTTACGTTCAACAAATAACTGCGATTTCGGGAATCCCTACTCATTTTCGGATTACATTCATCAATTACCCAGCGTGAAACGCCATCACCATCCATTTGCGCTAATATTTCATACTAAATAAGAATGTGTTTGCTCATCCTGATTTGTGATGCCACCAATAATAAGAAAAGGGGAGATTCAGATTGTATAGCTTTGAAAAAATAGGTATTCAACAAGATATATATTCCTGATTGGTATGATCGATAATATATATTTGGAGACGAAGAAGTTCTTGGACACACAGTGTTGTGTGTCGAAGATAATAATATATAAGGATGTCGATCATGGGGCAAAGTTGATGATGGTTCCTCCGAAAGGAAACGTTCGGAAAATCTTTCAAAGCTGTTTTGTAGAGCTTGATAGACGATAGACGTACATCTTATATGACTCAAAAGAGCCATCACGAAGTATACTATAATTATACACTCATTCCAGCACACGGCACACGCTATAACGCTATTCCCTGAACGTTGAATTAAAAAAATAATTAAAAACTATTATAGAGGACTCTTCTGCGAATTGCATTCCTACAAAATAAAGTATAACGATGAAAAAATGTATACAGGAATATGGAACAAGAGATGTGATTGTGTAAAATGAATCATCATTTGCATTGAGGATCATTCAAAAATAAACTATTCAAAACATGGAGTCATACCAAGGCAAATAAGCCATTTTATTCAAGATAATATGCGTAAATAGTGTTGATAACAGTTGTCAAATAGTGATTGATCATGATGAGTTCTACCGCAATTCAACCTATGACACATTACTAGAATAATAATAACAGTGATCTACCTATATTTTCCTAATCTCATCTCTGAATTTACTGCAGAGAATATAAACATCAGCAAATGAATTCCTCTTATACCTCTGGTATGTCTTTATAATATGCTTTGAGGTTGTTCAAATTGTTGAAGATTCCTAAATGTAAGGTATTTAACTCCAGGTTATACAGAGTGGAACAAATTCATTTCTCATCATCCTCCGTCTGTCATCGGATCGGCATCACAAAAATCGAAATATATAGGGTTGGATAAAAAATTCACAAGCTTGAAAACTTTAGGATACTTATATGAAAGCACAAGTCATCTCCAAATAAGAATAGAATGGGAAAATGTCGAGGTTATCACAACAATTTTATATTGCGAGCGTGGGCCCTCATTATATTTTTGGAAATACAAATATATATATATAGACTTTATATCTGCTTTCTGGATTATTATCATATGAAAAATGATATGAATAATGCATCAGTTATTTAATTCTGTTTGTACAACTCACAAATAAGTATGGAGGTAATGGTATACTAGTCTTTTCACAATTAAAACTCAACTTATTTATATATAGTGACCGATTTGAAAGCGAGCCCCCTTCATGTATATTTAATTAATGAAGCGATTTTCACGATTTTCTTTTCAAATTTAGAGGGAGAAAGGTGAATTTTGGACCTGAGCGGCGTCTATCCATATTAGTGATTTTTTTAGAGAAAATCCGCGTACACAACTGGAATTGGTGTCTGAAATTGATGTGTACCAAGTTTCATGAGAAAACGCCTCCCACCCCTCTATATCACACTTTACCAAATTGGGACCAGTATGTATGATGGTATGTCTTGGGTAGGACCATCAATATGATCAGTTTTTCATAGGCATACATCCATTTGGACAGTGCAGTGTGTTTTTATTGCAATGCAAATTGGTAAAATCTTTCATGAAATCATATTATTAGTATTTTTTCACAGGAAGAGAGCCCTCATATTGTTCATCATGGTTTCAAACCACCTATGAAAATTTTTATATGATGATTCCTATGATTTCCTATAAATATAAAGAAATACTTACATTGAAAATCTGCATTCTCCATGTGATAAAAATATCAATTCCTTCTTGGTTTATTCAACAGAAAACAATTACTTTCCTAGTTATGGTTTGGATATGAACTTGATTATCACCAACATAGTATGAAACATGGTTTACTGATAATAGTACCAGCTACATGCTTAATACAAGTAACACATTTGTAAAGAATCTCTCATTTTCCAAATCTAACCTAACCAAAAGTGACCAAAGTCTGGACTGCTTCATCAGCCTCATCATTTTGTTGAAATAAATCTTCACTTTGTCCAACATTGCTCTCACTCTCCACAAAACTGATCCCTTCTCTCTCATGCACCTTCAAATGTTTCCTCAAAGTGGCAGGTAGTGTGAACCAGGAATGACACACATGGCAACCATAAGGTTTTTCCCCAGTATGTATCCTCAAGTGGACTTTCAAGTGAGTGGACTGCATGAAGCGCTTCCCACAGATCTTACAAATGTGCCTGCGATCTCCCATATGGGTTCTCATATGTCTCTGCATTCCATTGCTGACTGGAAAGCTCTTTCCACAGATGTTGCACAGAAAGGGTTTCATTTTTGGTTTTTTGCCTTGGTGACTCATCAAGTGTCTTTTGTGTGAAGACAGCCTCAGGAACAGCTTGCCACAGATCTCACAGTTGTAGTTCATGGTGCCAGTATGAGCAGCTTCATGCTCTCTAAGATTGAGGGAGTTTGAGAAGTTCCTGCCACAATATGCACAGTTATATTTATTGGCTCTATGTTCTCTGGTTATGTGCCTGTTCAGTTTCCATTGCTGGTCAAATGTGCACTCACAAATTTTACAGCAAACCTCTATAGGTTGTTTGACTGGCTGCACTTTAGTTTGAGGGATTTTCTGCTTCACAGGGTTGTTTGGCTTGGTGCACTGGTGAGAGACTAGCTTAGCAGCACTGTTGAACATTAGTTGACATCTACCACAAGCAAATGTAGCTACAAACTCAATTTCCTCTTTCTTTATGGATTCCATGCAAGAACCTTCACCCTCTGAGCCATCATTTTCTAGTTTAATATCACTTGTTAAGGCATTTTGGCTATTTTGCTTGCTGTCGTATATTTTCCAGTATTCCACTGCAACATCGAATTTTTTCCTGAACTGGTAAACTTTGTTCAAATCTTCCAGACAGTACATGCATATTTCTGAAGAATCATCGAAAACCTACAATAATTATTATGATACTGAGACTACTATTCACGCAATTCATGATAGGATATACTTACGAAATCTATGTTTAGAGCATATTGCATCTGATTCATGTAAGTTTCATTCTCTGGAGAAGTAGATGTCAATTTGATCAAATCTGGTTCATCATACATTTCAAGGCAAATAATGCAAGGTTTTGTGGGATTTCCCATTCTCGATTTCAAAAAATTATCATTCAAAAAATTTTATCGTCTGCGTGAAGTACAATTTTTTAAATGTCATCACATCACATCCACGTGCTTCCAAAGATAAGAGACGAACACAACTTTACACAACTGTCAGAATCAGAAATACGTCTTCTTCTTATTATATTGATTCTTGGCCTCGTTCCTCAATAGCAACAGTGCGCACACGGCACAGACAGTGCCACACATACAGTGGAGCGGCACAAAGTTGGCAGCTCACAGACCATAGAATTGCATACTATTTAGATCTATGGTACCAGGTAGCTTAGAAAGGTTTTTTATTTTTCAATTTTTTTTAACTTTGTAATACATAAACTAGATATCTTGACTTCTCAAAATCCCAGTATAATTACATGGTTCGCGAACTATACCGATATACCTAACTATAGGAGATGCGATATCCATTAGTCGGAAAATTGGGAGGAAAGAAGTAATTTTTGAAATGTGACGTTTTATAAGCTGTCAACAGAGATGGAATTGTACATTTTTTTAACATCTGCATTGCATTCTAATACAAAATGAGGTACAACGATGAAAAAATATATACAGAAATATGGAAAAAAAGATGTGATTGTGTAAAATGAATCATCATTTGCATTAAAAAAACTCCAAATTAGACTGTTCAGAGAATGAAGTCATACCAAGGCAAATAATAAGACATTTTATTTAAAATAATATATGCTTAACACGCGATGGTGATGATTGAATAATGTTGATAACTGTTGATTGATCACGATTTCTGCTTATGACACATTACTAGAATAATAATAACAGTACCTACAACAGAATTTTATATATCTGCCTACTACCGCTTTTCTTTATATAAATATAGGTATATCCATTTTTGTATGTTCATAATTTACCTGAGAATATTCCCTTTCAATAAACAATAAACATCAGCAAATGAGTTCCTCTTATAGGTACCTCTTATACATTCTTGAAGATTCCTACCATCTAACTCCACAGGTTATACAGAATGGAACAAATTCATTTCTCATCATCCTCTCGGTCTGTCATCGGCATCTCAAACATCGAAAGTACCTATACATGTATATGAAATATATAGGGAGTTGAATAAAAAATTCACAAGCTTGAGAACTTGGGATACTTAAAAGCACAATTCATCACCAAATAAGAATAGAATGGGAAAATGTTGAGGTTATCACAACAATTTTATTTTGAGCGCGACCTCATCATAATATTTCGGGAAATACAAATATAGACATTATATCTGCCTTCTGAATTATTATCATACTCATACTAAATATATGATATGAATAAAGCATCAGTTATTTAATTTTGTTTGTACAACTTAATAATAAGTATAGATATAGGTAAAGGTATATACTGCATAGTCTTTCGACAATTTGAAACTGAGCTAATTCATACACAGAGTGACCCAGTTAAAAGCGGTCCACCCTCATATATATTTTATTTATGGAGCGATTTTCACATTTTATGTAGAGGGGGGAAAGGTGAATTTTAGACTTGAGCGGCGTCTTTTTCAAACCAAGGCCTACTATTAGATCACATTCAGAGGCTGAAAATCCAGAATCTATATTAGTGTTTTTTTTAGAAAAAATCTGCGTACACCACGGGGATTGGCGTCCTCTGAAATAAATGTATATCAAGTTTCATGAGAAAACGCGCCCCCGCCCCCTCCCTCTATATCTCACTTTACCAAATTATAGGACCGGGGTATGCGTATGCGTTTTTATTGAAATAAAAAAGGGTACATTTTTCATGAAATCATGATATTAGGATTTCTTTTACAGAAAAAATGACCATATAATATTGTTCATCATGGTTTCAAACTCTCATTTGCAAATTTTTATATGATTCCTATTCAAAAAAACAGGTACACATCTGAACAGCATTTTTGTGAACGTAATGATTACGAACTCGAAACGGTGAGTTCATTATAAAATAACGTTTTTTGATTTTTATTTCGAATCACGATTTTCTACCTACTGGAGCTATTGAACGTCCCAAAATTGACATAGTTCACTATTTTTTCGAGGCTGAAAATGAAAAAATGAAGTCAATCCTGTTGATTTGGAATGATGATACATAAATAGAACATTTACGATGCTGGCCCTCTTTCGAATGGGTCACTCTGTATAAGTACATCAGATATTTATCTCGGATTGAAAACATTTCATCTAGTTGTGAAATTGAAATTTCATCAGTTCGAAACATGTACGAAAGAAGAAATGTTGTCTTAGTTAGAACATTGTGAAACGTGGAAAGAAAGTGAGTGAAATGATCGAACAATTCGAACATAATCGAAGATCGCACATATTATATTTGTGGAAAGATTTTTCGATTTCTAGAAGATATTTTACATAACCATCAAAAATATATAAGTAAGTCCATATACGTGAATGATAAAATTCTTGAGGAGATACTATATAATATTCATCGCACCAAAAGCAATCATACCTTATACCTATACAATAAAACAGGAGCTCGATCTATCTTGTAAATGAGGATAGAAATGATTTTGTTCGTCATTATAGCTACTTATTGATGGAAGGATTATTGAGGAAACTTTTTTAGGCAAACAAGGATAACATTATTGGACATGGATCGTAGGTGTTTTGTGTTTTTGCATACTTTTTTTTCACCGTACTGATGATGGCCGGAAGCCCGAAACACGTGTCTACGGTTAACTCTTCATGAGGACTATGTCCAATGATTTTATCCTTGTTTCTATATAGATATACAGAGAAGCGCACAAAAAACTGCTAGTGCTGTATCTTCTGAATAATTCAAGATCGGAATTTGAAAATTGGTGGGTTGCAAGTATACCAAGTTGCTCATACATTGACAAAACGACTCCAACTTTTGATTTTCAAATGGTTAGGGCTAATTCAATGATACTGGGTTTCCATATGTTCAATGGGTGTGACTTCGCAATATCGAAACATCTTTCTCTGTCCCACTTATATTGAGCAAATAGAAACTTGAAACGCGAATATCTTCGTAATCATTCGAAATAACCCTATCAAACCATGCAGGTATCGTTGAATTCGTCATAATAATCCCTGACCAATCATGGAATGAAATACTGGGTGTCCTATTTAAAAATCAGAAGTTGGGGTCGTTTCAGTGAAATCGGAAGTGATAAATAATATAAATAAGCAATTTTATATTCTTGCTAACGACCGATTTTCAAAATCCGATCTCGAATGATTTAGAAGTTACAGCATTGGCCGTTTTTTGTGCACTTTTCTGTACAGGGTGGGCCAAATTGAACACTTTTAAAGGCAAAGTCGTATTCTCGAACCAGATAGAAAAAAATAGATGTCAGTGCCTGATGATCTATTCTCATGAAAAACTCAATAGTGAAATACGCATATATCGATATCTGTCTTCGTTTCGGAGTTACAAGGTGTTTTTCGAAAATGAGCATTTTTGGAAAGTGGCTAGAGATATTTTTTTTGGCAAAAATTGTCTGTTTTTATCAAAATAACTGCGAAGCATTGGGTTTGTGATGAAAATTGTACTCAAGGCACTGAAATCGGACTTCGTATATATAGCTCAAGCATATAATTCGTTTTTCTTGAAAGAAAAGTTCTATTATGCAACTAGGTATATGGTGACTAATTTCAGTGCCTGAGGATCAATTTTCATGACAAACACAATGCTTTGCAAATGTTTTCATGGAAACGAAGAATTTTTGGCAAAAAATGAGTTTTAGTCACTTTTCAAAAACTCACATTTTCGAAAAACACCTTGTAAAATATAATAAAAACTCTCCAAGTCGTCTCCATAACGTTTAATTCCAAATTTAAGAAGGAGGGGACATGTTTCGAACCCAAAAGGTATCCATCATCAGCCAGAAAGAAATTATTCTACAAAGAACATAGAAAACCACTAAGTAGGTATATCAAGTAACAGATTGGTACTCACGTGGAGAAGAAAGAGGCAAAAATATGGTTATGACGTTGATTGATATATTAATTGGAACATTTTTAGAGTTTTGAATAAAAGTAGTAAACAGGTATCATTATTTAAATTGGGGCCCTGTATCCCAGATATTTGCCCGACCTAAAGATTGGTATTGGTCCATGAATTTAAATTTTCAACAAAACCAATTTGGGATACGTTTCAAGTTGCGTCAGCAGATATAAACCGTATATGCCTTGTGTATACCTAAATCTGACTATAGAGAGAGGTTTGCTCCAATGGGGGGTATAATGTATTCGATTTTTGCGATTCTACAAATTGGGGGCGATAAGCAATTTCACCCTTGTCGGCATTTGTTTTCGTCAGATTGCGCACCACGACGTCTTTTTTTTTGTTTTGTATTCATTGCTCGCGTTCAAAGGTATAGGCGTACTTTGTACTGGAAATTGAAATTCAGCTATGAAAAAAGGGGCATATATGTAGATCAACAACGATTATACAGGGTGGCATTTTAAAAAATTCCCTCAATATCTTCTTTCCAGTGAATAATATGAAAAATCGAGAAGATAGGCCAATTTCAATGTCGAGGGGAAACTTTAAATACATTTTTTTAGCCCTCTTGTAATAACCCCCTAGGGTAGATGTTACCCTTAGAACCTTATACGTACTATGAAAAAGTTTGGGGAGGATAAAGAAGCCTCTACCCCCAAAACCGTATCACCATGTAGATTTTGAAAATCTTGAAATGGCTTGAAATGATGATATTCTGAATAGTATCGACCACACCAAATTTCAAAATGATATCTTCAAAAGTAAGCCAGATATTTCAATTAATAGAAAAAAATAATTAAACTTTGACCCCCCCTGTAGCTCTGCTACTGAACGAGATCGAACTGATGTATATATCAACTTTTCTGATTGAAATGATGAGGTCTATACCTCCCATTTCAGTTTGTGCTCTAAAACCTGAATCACCCTGCAGATAACCTTATTACATCTATTCATGAATAGACACGGAAATTCTCTTATATAAAATAACATTTTGATATTTTTAT